GCGAAAGGGTGTCCGGGCCAACGGGCAAGCCTAATTAGCTGCAGGGCGCAGCGCGAGCCGGCCAGGCCAGCCCTCAGAGGCAGCAGCTGCGGCAGCGGCGGCGGGAGGCTGACTGGCTGAACTGCGATGCCCAGGGAAGCTCGAGCATCATGCATACCTGTGGCAAAGTGCCAGGGAATTCGCAACTGTGCGCCGCGGCGCCAGTCCACCACGGAGTAGGTGCCATGACGAGACAGACAGAGAGTGTCTTACACGCACAACCCGCACAAACGCTGAAGCGAGAAAAGGCCAGGTACGCACTGGTCATGTCGCCGGAGGGCGCCAAGGGCCAGGGCCGTGTCGACGGCGTAGACCTGCCTGGTTGGCTGGGACGGGTCGAGGACGGAAACACAGCGTCCGCCAGAAGGCTGAACCACTCCGAGACGCCACACACGTATCCTGCGGTGAACGCCAGTCCCGAACCAGTAGCAACGAGCCGGCTCGGAGGGCGATGGCACCTGTTGTGGGGCCGGCCCATGATCACGACGAGGGCGTCGTAGAGAACCACGTGTTGCGCGGAGAGGAAGCCTGACTGGCGGGGATGGACGTCGCCAGGCTGGTGGGGATACGCGAAGCGTCTAGACTGAACTCTGGAGTTAATCCACGGGGGAGGGGTGGATCAGGGCGCCGCCCTGGGCCCCGTGAATTGACTCCGGAGTTAATCCACGGGGGCGGGGTGGATCAGGGCGCCACCCTGCATGGGCCCCGTGAATTGACTCCGGAGTTAATCCACGGGGGAGGGGTGGATCAGAGGCCGCCTGGGGCGCCTCCAGGCGGCATCTCAGAGGCCCCTCTGATGATCCACCCGTCCCCCGTGGATTACCTCCGGAGTTAATTCATGGCAATCCTCGGGACCCGGCCAGGGCGGCGCCTCTCAGAGGCCTCCTGGAGGGCCTCTGCGAGGCCGCCTGGAGGCGCCCGAGGCGGCCTCTGATCCACCACTCCCCCGTGGATTAACTCTGGAATCAATTCACGGGGCCTACGGCGGCGCCGTGATCCACCCCTCCCAGGTGGGCCCGTGGATTAACTCCGGAGTTAATTCACGGGGCCCAGGGCGGCGCCCTAATCCACCCCTCTCCCGTGGATGAACTCCAGAGTTAACTCACGGGGCCCAAGGCGGTGCCCTGATCCACCCTTCCCCCGTGGATTAACTCCAGAGTCAATTAAGGAGGAAGAAGCTGGCTCGTGGATCCGCTTCTTCGTGGATCAACTCTGGAATTAATCCACGAGGAAGCTGGTAGCAGGATCCACGTTGAAAAGCATGCACTCTGGGGTCAATCTTTGATCAACTCCTGGCTTCATCCATCTCGGAGGAGCCCGAGGAGAACACGCCGCCCTGAGTGACCCGCGCGCCGGCCTCGAACGCAGGAGGGCAGGATCCGTGGAGGGCCCGTGGACGGCTCGTCCGCGGCTTCGTCGGGGTCTCTCCCGGGGGCCATTTTGGGAGGCGGAGCCCCTCGGCGCACCCCTGGCGGCCAGGGTCGCCAGGGTACGCGGACGCTTCGCCTCCCCTGTGCGCGGCGCGCCCTGTCGGGCTCGCGGCCGCGGAAGCAGTAACTGGAGGGGCGCAGCGGGAGCAGAGGAGGAGGAGGAGGAGGAGGAGGAGGAGGAGGAGGAGGAGGAGGAGGAGGAGGAGGAGAGGAGG